GTGCAGGCAGGTGAGTCCTCCCCAGGCTCCATGTCCCTCCTCTTACTTCACTCCTGGGGCTCAGGAGGGAGCACAGAGGTGCTGGGTTGAGGTGATAAAAGAGGAGGTTCTAGCACTAAGCTAGGAAATGAAGGTGGGAAGGTCTTGGTCATACAGCCTCTGGTTTCTTTCCAGGGACTCTCCTCAAACCCACCATCTGGGCTGAGCCAGCCTCTGTGATGTCCTGGGGGAGCTCTGTGACCATCTGGTGTCAGGGGACTGCGGAGGCCAAGGAGTTCTGCTTTGAGAAACAAGGAAGGACATTTCCCACGTGTGGAGTAATTCTACTGCATCCGATGGTCAGCGGCACGTTGAGCACCACAGGCCTCACAGACAGTGGTGCTGGGATATATCGCTGTTACTATTACAGCCCTAATGGCAGGTCAGAGCGCAGTGACCCCCTGGAGCTGGTGGTGACAGGTGAGAGGACACTCAGGGGTCCCAGGCTCTGCCCTAAGGAAGGGGGTCTGCTCTCAGGGTGTCCCCCTCTCACAGCCCAGCCCTGGGAGACATGAGAGAGGTCTGAGCCCCATTTAACACGCTGCCTCCTCCTCCCCTAGGAGCCTACAGCCAACCCAGCCTCTCAGCCCTGCCCAGCCCTGTTGTGACCTCAGGAGGGAACGTGACCCTCCAGTGTGGCTCAGGGCTGGGATTTGACAGGTTCATTCTGACTAAAGAAGGAGATCAGAGGCTCTCCTGGACCCTGGACTCACAGCGACATACCAGTGGGCAGTTCCAGGCCCTGTTCCCTGTGGGCCCCGTGACCCCCAGCGACAGAGGGAAATTCAGATGCTATGGCTGTTACAGGTACAGCCCCCAGGTGTGGTCATACCCCAGTGACCCCCTGGAGCTCCTGGTCTCAGGTAAGGCCCATTATTATCCCATTCATTGATTTGGGCACAAAACTGGGGTGTTATTGGGGTCATTACTTTGAGGGGAGCCCCATGGGGGAGAGTGAGGTCAGGGGATCATAAGGGCTCCTGGGCCAGAGACAGAGAGAGAGAGTGAAACCTGGAGGTCAGGCCAGGAGAAGGGGTTTATGGGAGGAGCAGCCTCTGTAATTCACATCTGGTCTCCCCAAGTGAGTCTCAGATGCCCTCCCTCCTGACACTTCAGGGCCCCATTGTGCCCTCTGGACGGAGACCGTCCCTCCAGTGTCATTCTGATGTCCACTATGAGAGTTTTTCTCTGTCCAAAGAGTGTGGACCAAACCTCCCCCAGAGCCTTTTCATGCAGCTCCAGGCTGGGCTCTCTCAGGCCCACTTCCTCTTGACACTCAGAGAGGCTGACAGGGGGGCGGGTACATATGCTAGAGAAGGAACAACCTTTTCTTTGAACCCCAGTAACCCCGACCCTAGACATCCTGGTGGCAGGTGAGGAGCCAGTGGGTTCAGTCAGGGAACCAGACTCTGCACAGGCCCCTGCTGGGTGTCTCAGGGGGTGAGGCCAGAATGAAAGTGCAGGCCCCAGGGAGGGAGAGAGACAGAGAGACAGAAGGTGGGAGGGGAGTTGGGAGACTCAGAGAAACGAAGACAGACAGAGAGGAGGGTCCGCAGAGAGAGGCCTGGTGACTCTCAGGTTTGAACAAGGTAGGCAGCCCACCCAGCATGGCTCAGAGGTTGAACTTCAACCTATGAACCAGGAGGTCGCAGTTCAATTCCAGGTGAGGTTGCATGCCGAGGTTGCGGCTCAATCCCCAGGTAGGGGCATGCATGAAGCAGCTGATCATATCTTCCTTCTCATCATTGATGTTTCTATCACTCTGTCCCCCTCCTTTCCTCTCTGAAACCGATCTATATATAAAAGGCCAGTGGCTGTAATGCACAGGAGGTGCATTGATGGGTCTTGCGGTGCGGAGGGTCTGGGTTCCGCTGACGGGTTCGGGGTCTCGTGTGATTTCTCACGCTGGGCCTCTAGTACATATATATATATATTTAACATACAAGGTGGGCAGGCAGCCCTCACCCCTCGTCCCTCTCTCTAGGACACCTTCCTGACAGACCCTCCCTCTCGGTGCAGCCAGGCCCCAGGGTGGTCTCAGGAGAGAACGTGACCCTGCTGTGTCAGTCACAGAGCCCGAGGGACACTTTCCTTCTGTCCAAGGAGGGGGCAGCCAATATCCCCTGTGTCATAGATCAATGCACGGAGCTGGGCACTTCCAGGCAGAGTTCTCCATGAGCCCTGTGACCTCAGCCCACCGCGGCACCTACAGGTGATACAGTTCACTCAGCCCCTCCCCTTACCTGCTGTCACTCCCCAGTGATCCCCTGGAGCTCCTGGTCTCAGGTGAGGGGACCCTCACCCTGTCCTTTCTGAGCTCAGTCATTGAGGGCCCTGTCCCCAGGAGAGGTGAGGCTAGGGTGGAAGAAATACAATAAGAGTGTCTTGGGCTGAGCTGTGGGAGGAGGTGGGGAAGGCCTTTGTAATGCAGCCCCTTGTTTTCTCCAGGGCCCTTCCCCAAACCCACCCTCTGGGCTGAGCCAGGACCAGTGATCTCCTGGGGGAGCCCCGTGACCATCTGGTGTCAGGGGACCCCAGAGGCTGAGGAGTACCGTCTGGATAAAGAGGGAAGCCCAGAACCATGGAAAAGAGAGAAGCCACAGAAGACTGGGGACAAGGTGATGTTCTCCATTCCACTCCTGACACAGGGTGATGCTGGGAGATATCGCTGTTACTATCTCAGCCCTGATGGCTGGTCAGAGCCCAGTGACCCCCTGGAGCTGGTGGTGACAGGTGAGAGGACACTCAGGCTCAGCCCTCAGGACGGGGTCTGCTCTAAGGGTGTCTCCTCAGATCCCAGCCCGGGGGACATGAGGGAGGAGTGAGTCCATTTAACCTGCTGCCTCCTCCTCTCCTAGGATCCTACAGCAAACCCAGCCTCTCAGCCCTGCCCAGCCCTGTCCTGACCTCAGGAAGGAACGTGACCCTTCAGTGTGGCTCATTGGATGCATTTGACAGGTTCATTCTGACTAACCCTGGAGCTGGTGGTGACAGGTGAGAGGACACTCAGGCTCAGCCCTCAGGACGGGGTCTGCTCTAAGGGTGTCTCCTCAGATCCCAGCCCGGGGGACATGAGGGAGGAGTGAGTCCATTTAACCTGCTGCCTCCTCCTCTCCTAGGATCCTACAGCAAACCCAGCCTCTCAGCCCTGCCCAGCCCTGTCCTGACCTCAGGAAGGAACGTGACCCTTCAGTGTGGCTCATTGGATGCATTTGACAGGTTCATTCTGACTAAGGAAGGAGACCACAGGCTCTCCTGGACCCTGGACTCAAGGAGACAGCCCAGGGGGCAGTTCCAGGCTCTGTTCCCTGTGGCCCCCATGACCCCGAGCGATAATGGGCCATTCAGATGCTATGGCTATTACAGGAACAGCCCCCAGGTGTGGTCACACCCGAGTGACCCCCTGGATCTCCTGGTCTCAGGTAAGGCCCATTATTGTCCCTTCCATTGATTCAGGCAACAAATACTGGGGTGTTCCTAGGGTCATTAATTTGAGTGCAGCCCCATATGAGAGGGTGAGGGGAGCACAAGGGCTCCTGAGCCTGAGTCACAAAGAAAGACAGTGAGACCTGGAGGCCAGGCCAGGAGAAGGGGTTATGGGAGGAGAAGCCCGTGTAATTCATGTCTGGTCTCCCCAGGTGAGTCTCAGAAGCCCTCCCTCCTGACCCAGCAGGGCCCCTTTGTGGCTTCTAGACAGAGCCTGACCCTCCAGTGTCGCTCTGATGTCGGCTATGACAGATTCGCTCTTCACAAGGAGGGGGAACGGGACCTCCCCCAGAGCCTTGTCCTGCAGCCCCAGGCTGGGCTCTCTCAGGCCCACTTCCCCCTGGACACTAAGAGAGGCTGACCGGGGTGGGGGGTATATATGCTAGAGTAGGAAGAACCTTTTCTTTGAGTGGTTGGTCCAGTGATGCCCTTGACATCCTGGTGGCAGGTGAGGATCCAGTGGATTCAGCCAGGCACCCAGATCTGCACAGGCCCTGCTGGGAGTCTCAGGGGGTGAGGCCAGAATGGCAGTGCAGGCCCCAGGGAGGGAGAGAGACACAGAGGCAGGGGGTGGGAGGGGAGAGGTGGAGACTCAGAAATACAGAGACAGACAGAGAGGAAGGTCCTCAGACAGAGGCCTGGTGACTCTCAGGGCAGAACAAGGTGGGCAGGCAGCCCTCACCCTCCCTCCCTCTCTTTAGGACACCTGCCTGACACACCCTCCCTCTCGGTGCAGCCAGGCCCCAGGGTGGCCTCAGGAGAGAACGTGACCCTGCTGTGTCAGTCACAGAGCCCGAGGGACACGTCCCTTCTGTCCAAGGAGGGGGCAGCCTATCCCCTCCTGCTTCTGAGCTCAGAGCACCGAGCTGGGCAGTACCAGGGAGAGTTCTCCATGAGCCCTGTGACCTCAGCCCTCAGGGGCACCTACAGGTGCTACAGCTCACACAGCTCCTCTCCCTTCCTGCTGTCACTCCCCAGTGAGCCCCTGGAGCTCTTGGTCTCAGGTGAGGGGCCCCTGACCCTGTCCTTTTTGAGTTCAGTCATTGAGGGCCCTGTGCAAAGAAGAGGTGAGGCTAGGATAGAAGAAATACAGTAAGAGTGCCTTGGGCTGAGCTGTGGGATGAGGTGGGGAAGGCCTTTGTAATGCAGCCCCTTGTTTTCTCCAGGGCCCCTCCCCAAACCCACCCTCTGGGCTGAGCCAGGCCCTGTGATCCCCCAGAGGAGTCGCCTGACCATCTCCTGTCAGGGGACCTCAGGGGCCACGGAGTACCGTCTGGATAAAGAGGGAAGCCCAGCCCCATGGAAAAGAGAGAAGCCACTGAAGCCCGGGGACAAGGCGATGTTCTCCATTCCATCCATGACAGATCGTGATGCTGGGATATATCGCTGTTACTACCTCAGCCCTGATGTCTGGTCAGAGCCCAGTGACCCCCTGGAGCTGGTGGTGATGACAGGTGAGAGGACACTCAGGGGTCCAAACCTCGGGCCCTGCCCTCAAGAAAGGGGTCTGCTCTCAGGATGTCTCCCTCTCTCACAGCCCAGCCCTGGGACATGACGGAGGTGTGAGCCCCATTTTACACACTGCCTCCTCCTCTCCTAGGATCCTACAGCAAACCCAGCCTCTCAGCCCTGCCCAGCCGTGTTGTGACCTCAGGAGAAAACGTGACCCTCCAGTGTGGCTCACGGCAGGGATTTGGCAGGGTCATTCTGACTAAGGAAGGAGATCACAGGCTCTCCTGGACCCTGGACTCAAAGCAACAGCCCAGTGGTCAGTACCAGGCCCTGTTCCCTGTGGGCCCTGTGACCCCCAGCCACAGGTGGACGTTCAGATGCTATGGCTGCTACAGTAAAAAGCCCCAGGTGTGCTCACTCCCGAGTGAGCCCCTGGAGCTCCTAGTCTCAGGTAAGGCCCATTATTATCACATCCATTGATTCAGACACCAAACTGTGGTGTCATTAGGGTCATTATTTTGAGGGGAGCCCATGTTAGAGGGTGAGGACAGGGGATCACAAGGGCTCCTGGGCCTGAGACACAAAGAAAGACACTGAAACCTGGGCGTCAGGCCAGGAGAAGGGGGTTATGGGAGGAGCAGCCCCTATAATTCACATCTGGTCTCCCCAGGTGAGTCTGGGAAGCCCTCCCTCCTGAGCCAGCAGGGCCCCATCGTGGCCTCTGGACAGAGCCTGACCCTCCAGTGTCGCTCTGATATCGGCTATGACAGATTCGCTCTGCACGAGGAGGGGGGACGGGACCTCCCCCAGAGCCTTGTCCTGCTGCCCCAGGCTGGGCTCCCTCAGGCCCACTTCCCCCTGGACACTCAGAGAGGCTGACAGTGGGGGGTGGGTACATATGCTAGAGTAGGAACAACCTTTTCTTTGAGTAGTTGGCCTCCCAGTGACGCCCTGGATATCCTGGTGGCAGGTGAGGATCCAGTGGATTCAGCCAGGCACCCAGATCTGCACAGGCCCTGCTGGGGGTCTGAGGTGGTGACGCCAAAATGAAGGTTCAGGGCCCCAGGAAGAGAGACAGAGAGAGACAGGGTTGGGAGGGGAGAGGGGGAGACTCAGAGAAACAGAGACAGACAGAGAGGAGGGTCCTTAGAGAGAGGCCTGGTGACTCTCAGGGCAGGACAAGGTGGGCAGGCAGCCCTCACCCTCCCTCCCTCTTCCTCAGCCGGGTTTTAGGGTGGCCTCAGGAGAGAACGTGACCCTCCTGTGTCAGTCACGGAGCTAGAGGAACACATTCCTTCTGTCCAAGGAGGGGGGCACCCAATGTCCCCCTGCATCTGATATCAAAGCACCGAGCTCAGCAGTTCCAGGCAGACAGTGGGGGGCGGGTACATATGTTAGAGTAGGAAAAACCTTTTCTTTGAGTAGTTGGCCTCCCAGTGACGCCCTGGATATCCTGGTGGCAGGTGATGATCCAGTGGATACAGCCAGGCACCCAGATCTGCACAGGCCCTGCTGCGGGTCTCAGGTGGTGAGGCCAGAATGAAGGTGCAGGGCCCCAGGAGAGAGACAGAGAGAGACAGGGGGTGGGAGGGGAAAGTGAGACTCAGAGAAACAGAGAGACATAGAGTTGAGTGTCTTCAGAGAGAGGCCTGATGACTGTCAGGGCAGAACAAGGTGGGCAGGCAGACCTCACCCTCCCTCCCTCTCTCGAGGACAACTGCCTGACTGGCCCTCCCTCTCCTTGCAGCCGGGTTTTGGGGTGGCCTCAGGAGAGAAGGTAACCCTGCTGTGTCAGTCACAGAGCTAGAGGGACACATTCCTTCTGTCCAAGGAGGTGGCCACCCAATGTCCCCCTGCATCTGTTATCAAAGCACCGAGCTCTGCACTTCCAGACAGAGTTCTCCATGAGTCCTGTGACCTCAGCCCATGGGGCCACTTACAGGTGCTACAGCTCACACAGCTCCTCTCCCTTCCTGCTGTCACTCCCCAGTGAGCCCCTGGAGCTCCTGGTGTCAGATGAGTGTCCCCTGACCCTGTGCTTTCTGAGCTCAGTCATTCAGGGCCCGGTCCCCAGGAGAGGTGAGGCTAGGATGGATGAAATACAATAAGAGTGTCTTGGGCTGAGCTGTGGGATGAGGTGGGGAAGGCCTTTGTAATGCAGCCTCTTGTTTTCTCCAGGGACATTCCCGAAACCCACCCTCTTGGCTGAGCCAGGACCAGTGATCCCCCTGGGGAGGCCCCTGACCATCTCCTGTCAGGGGACCACAGGGGCCTCAGAGTACCGTCTGGATAAAGAGGGAAGCCCAGCACCATGGAAAAGAGAGAAGCCACTGAAGCCCGGGGACAAGGTGATGTTCTCCATCCCATCCATGACAAAACGTGATGCAGGGATATTTCGCTGTTACTATCTCAGCCCTGATGGCTGGTCAGAGCCCAGTGACCTCCTGGAGCTGGTGGTGACAGGTGAGAGGACACTCAGGGGTCCCAGCCTCAGGCTCTGCCCTCAGGAAGGGGGTCTGCTCTGATGTCTCCCCCTGGGGGACGTGAGGGAGGTCTGAGCCAATGTAACACACTGCCTCCTCCTCTCCTAGGATCCTCCAGCAAACCCAGCCTCTCAGCCCTGCCCAGCCCTGTCGTGACCTCAGGAGGGAACGTGACCCTCCAGTGTGGCTCAGGGCAGGGATTTGACAGGTTCATTCTGACTAAGGAAGGAGATCACAGGCTCTCCTGGACCCTGGGCTCACAGCCACAGCCCAGTGGGCAGTTCCAGGCCCAGTTCCCTGTGGGCTCCGTGACCCCCAGCAACACAGGGACATTCAGATGCTATGGCTGTTACAGGCACAGCCCCCAGGTGTGGTCACATCCCAGTGATGCCCTGGAGCTCCTGGTGTCAGGTGAGTCCCATTATTGCTCTATCTATGGACTGAGCTACTTTCCAGGTTGTTGGCATCTTCGCTGTGAGGGCAGCCCCATGTGAAAAAGTGGGGTGAGGGGAACACAGCGGCTTCTCCACCAGAGACACAGAGCGAGACAATGAGATATGGGTGCCAGGCCAGGAGAAGGGTGTTTATGGGAGGAGCAGCCCCTGTAACTCATGTCTGGTCTCCATAGGTGTCCTCAGAGGTCTCGTGACTCTCAGGTCAGAACAAGGTGGGCAGGCAGCCCTCACCCTCCCTCCCTCTCTCTAGGACACCTGCCTGACAGACCCTCCCTCTCGGTGCAGCCAGGCCCCAGGGTGGCCTCAGGAGAGAATGTGACCCTGCTGTGTCAGTCACAGAGCCTGACAGACAAGTTCCTTCTGTCCAAGGAGGGAGCCGCCAATCCCCCCCTGTGTATGAGATCAAAGTACCAAGCTCAGCAGTACCAGGCAGAGTTCTCCATGAGACCTGTGACCTCAGCCCACAGAGGCACCTACAGGTGCTACAGCTCACACAGCACCTCCCCCTTCCTGCTGTCACTCCCCAGTGAGCCCCTGGAGCTCCTCGTCTCAGGTGAGGGCCCCTGACCCTGTCTGCTGAGCTGTCAGCTCAGGGTCCCGCCCCCAGAACAATCATGGGATGAAAGGGAGTGAGGGGCTGCAGGGATGGTCACCCCTAGGAGATCTTATACTTAGAGGGCCTCCCACCCCGTCCACCCCCTCCCCCTCACCTGGATACTGAAGCAGTGGGAGGGTCTCAGTGGTCACAGCACAGACGTAACAGGGTGTCTGTGTGAAATGGGGTCCAGGCTCAGCCCAAGCCTCTCACCCTCTGCCTGTCCTCATTTCCAGGACCCTCTGGAGGCCCCAGCTCCCCAGCCACAGAGCCCATATCCACAGCTGGTGAGTCCCAGGGAGCTCTGCTCAGAGGGAGCACAGCCCACCCAGCAAGTCCTGAGAGTCTGTCAGGGGATCCAGTGACCCAGATTCTCAATGACGGGCTTGTGTCCCAGGGGGGCTGGGAGTCCCAGGCTCTGAGGCAGGTGATGACTGGGGTTGTCATGGCAGAGGGAGATGTGGGGGCACAGGCTGGGGAGGGGGAGCTGGCCTCATGTGGGAGGAGGCAGCCCCCACCCCGCCTGCCCCATCCTCATCCCAGGAGGCTCTGAGGATAGGTCTCTCCCACGCCGGGTGTGTGAAGGTCTCTGTGCAGAGTTGGTGGGTTCCTCCATGTGGGGACGGGGACTGAGCTATAAGGGGTTCAGGTGCCTCTGAAGTCTCTCACTTGGACACGCTCTACCCTTATCTGGGCCTCAGTGTAAAAGGAGAAAATCCTTGTCCAGAGCTTACATTTCCTGTCAGTTCTGACCCTGACCTCCTGGGAGAGGGGCCTTACAGGGAAGCCCCCCGGGATGTGATGTTATGGGGCCTGTCCCCTCTGTCTCAGTGACGGTGACACTGCAAAGGGAGAGACAGGCATGATAAGGGTCCTGGCATCCAGGTCCTACCCCTCAGCTTAGGCTCAGCTCAGAGGAGGGAACAGGGTGGATCAGCCCTGGTTCAGCTCCAGGCTCTGCTGCTCCTGCTGTGGGGCTGGGCGGTCCCTTCTCTCCTCTGAGTGCCGGGTTCCTGTCTGCTCATCCCTGGTCCCATCCTGCTCACAGGCTGCTGGGAGATGAGGTGACATAAGGGCCTCACAGAGCTCAGGAAGGCAGAGCCCCCAGCCCAGCTTTACTTTCCTAGGGGGCTGTCAGAGACCTGTGAGTGGAGAGGGATCCAGGAGAGACTCAGAGTCCAACCCACACCCTGTCCCTCCCTGTCCCTGCTGTGCTGGGGGCGAGTAATGAGGAAGGACCCTCAGCTGCAGTTGAGACGTGGACAGGCCCCTGCAGAGGAGGATCCCAGAGCACAAATCTGCTGTCCACCTGGAAGGTTGGGAGGGGTTTTCATGAGGAAAGCACAAGGAACCCACAGTCCCGGGTTCCAGTCCCAGCCCCGCCCCCTCAGGAATGGATGACCTGGGGCATGACTGAGCCTCAGTGAAGTGAGTGGTGGGGTCAGCAATGCCTGGTGCATGACTGCTGTGAGGTGAGAGGAGATAAATGACAGACCCAAGCCTGTGCCTCTCACACAGTAGGTGATCATTAAACAGCATCATTGGCTCATTCATGAAGTCACTAATGTCCTAGGTCTCAAATGGTACTGGATAGTGGTCTTAGTGGCCTTGGTCCTGCTGCTCTCCCTTCTTCTCTTCCTCCTCCTCCGACATCGGCGTCAGAGCAAAGGCAGGACCTCAGGTGAGTAGGGAAGGGGGTGACCTGGGTCACACAATGGGGGGCTCAGAGCAACTGCTACAGGAAAACCAAATAGATGGAGAAGGTCAGCTGAGAAAAGGATTTCCCCAGAATCTCAAATCAGAAATCCTAGGAAGAAGACACTCACTGTCAGCACAGATGGACGGAGGTGAGGTCATCTTTCATCCTTTTCAATCTCATGAATAGGAATCATTCTCACAAGCGCTTTTTCCGAATCTATTGATAAGGTCATGTGATTTTTATCCTTCATTTTGTTTATGTGGTGTGTCACGTTTATTGATTTGCGAATATTGAACCATCCTTGCATTTCCAGAGAAAGTCCTCCTTGGTCATGGTGTGTGATCTTTTTAATTTATTGCTGGATCTGGCAACATGAGGGTAATTGACAGGAGGATTTCAACAGTGAAATCAAGGAGACGCTGTTCTGTCTCACTGTCTCTCTCCAGCAGAACAGGCCGCATGAAGGCCCCCAGGAAGTCTGTACGGCCAGGTGAACTGTTCAACATCAAGACTCAGGCAGGGAATGACTACCTCTCTTCCTTTCCTATCAGGGGAATGTTTGGACATGAAGGACAGACAAGCAGAAGAGAACAGACAGATGGACAGTCAGGTGGGTCCCATCCTCCCCAGGCCCCGAGGCTTCTCAAACCCCAACCACGTTTCATCCCTTTCTCTCCCCCTGCTCCAGGCTGCATCCAATGTCCCCCAGGACGTGACCTACGCACAGCTGAACCTCTTGGCTCTTAGACAACAGACAGGGGCACCCCCATCCTCCCCATCACAGGAGCCCTCAGAAGAGCCCAGTGTGTATGCTGCTCTAGCCATCCACTAGCTCAGGAGGTTTCCAGACCCCACACTCCAGGGAGGGGGCCTGCAGGGACCCCAGAAGGCAGGAAGGTTGCCAACAGTCACACTTGGCTAGTGCCTCACCCACTGTGGAGACCTGAGGTGCCCCTGGGACTCTTGAGGATTCACATTTATTCTATAGTCAAAGATAAGCCAATGTCTCTACATTTGGAAATCAAGGCAACAGACTTCCTAAGACTCAATGTGTGAACAAAAACAAGTGAATGTTTTAACTGGAGTTGTAATGTAAATATGACACATCAAACCTATGAAATAATAAAATTAAGAACCTTAAAAAATCAATGGCCTAATCTATCATGTCAAGGATTTAGAAAAACAAAAGAAAACATTGCTTTGAATATTTAGATCCATAGACAATTAGATGATAAAGATGTGGTGTGTATGTACAATGGAATATAAACCAGCCATAAACAGAATGAAATCCTGCCATTTTGGACAACATGAATGGACCGGAGTGAAATGATTCAGACAAGGAAAGATGTCACTTACCTCTGGGATTTTTCGCATCCTCAAAGCAAAGGAAACAAAAGCAGATCCATAGAAATAAATAAGAAACTAATGGTTGCCAGATGGGAGGGAAAGAAGGATCGGTGGGAAGGGGAAGGGAAGATAGTCAATAATAAATATCATATCCATGTTGTACACCTGAAACTAATATGACATTGTATGTCAACTATGCTTTAATAAAAATGGTCAATTAAAAAATGATTATTTAAACAATAGAAATTTTTTTCTAAATGAAGGCATACGGAGATAATGATACAGCTTTGCATAGGAAAGAAAACCATCAACAAAATGAAAAGACAACCCACCGAATGGAGAACTACTAGCCAATACATCTGACAAGGGCTTATTGTCCAACATTTATAAGGAACTTATAAAGCTCAACACCAAAACCCCCCAAACAATCCAATAAAAAAATGGGCATAGGACCTAGATAGACACTTCTCCAAAAAGGGCACACCAACGGCCAGTAGATATATGAACAGATGCTCAACATCACTAATCATCAGAGAGATGCAAATTGAAACTGCACACCTTTCAGAATGGCTTATCATCAATAAATCCACAAATATCTATGCCCCTCTATGATCACAGCAGCCTTATTTACAAAAGCCAAGATCTGGAAACAGCCCAAGTGCCCACCAGCAGATGAAAGCTATGGTATATTTACACAATGGAATATTGTGCAGCTGTAAAATAAAGAAGGAACTCTTACCTTTTGCAACAACATGGATGGACCTGGAGAGCATTATGTCAAGTGAAATAAGCCAGTTGGAAAAAGACTAGTTTCCTAAGATTTCACTCATATTTTTAATCTAATAAACAAAATAAACAGAAAAAAATACATAGTGGAGAGATACTCATGTATACAGAGAACAGACTGACAGCTGTCAGAGGAGAGGGGGTTGTGGGCTGGGGGGAAGGGCGAATGGATTAAGCAAAGAAATAAAAGAAAGACTCATGGACTCAGACAATACTATGGTGACTGCCAGAGGGAGGGTGCGGTGGGCGGAGGTAAAAATGGGGTAAGTTGTGTGGAAATAGACTAGACTTAGAATGATAAGCACACAATACCATGTACAGATGACGTAGTGTAGAATCGTATACCTGAAACCTGTATAATTTTATTAACCAATGTCATCCCAGTAAATAAAAAATTCAATAAAAAACAAAAACATGTTGGCTGTTCGGAAATGTGGTTCCACTCAGACCCTCGGCACCTGCTATTTTTAGGGTGAGAAGGTGTCACCTTCCTGTGAGGCAAGCACCTTGTGGACAGTGCGCGGGTGGTGTGCACCCCACATCCTGTCACCTTCTCCGCTTGGCTCAGCCCCTGCTTCCTCTTCCTCAGAAGCACCCTGGTCCCCAAGTCCTCAGTCTCCGGAAGTGCAGGTCAACAGGAGCTGAATATGGACTTAGTTTTTCTGAATTTCTGCTCCTCGACTGCTTCTAAGGTGACAACACAAGGCGTGTCACTCTCCTGGGAATTTTATGGCTTTGTGACTTACATTGAAGTCTTTTATCCATTTTGAGTGTACTCTGGTGTATGGTGTAAATGGGTGGTAAATTTCCTCCCTTCCTTCTTTCCTTCCTTCCTTCCTTCCTTCCTTCCTTCCTTCCTTCCTTTCTTCCTTCCTTTCTTTCTTTCTGTTTTGCATTTACCTGTCCAATTTTCCCAGCACCATTTATTGCAGAGCCTGCCCTCACTCTGCTGTATATTCACAAAATCACTAATCATCGGGGAAAGGCAAGTGCTGGATGTGGAGAAGAGGGAGCCCTTGTGCACCGCTGCTGGGAATGCAGCCGGGTGCAGCCTCTGTGGAAAGCAGCATGGAGGTTCCTCAAAAAGTCAAAAAATGGAACTGCCATTCGACCCCATAATTCCACTTCTGGGGATATTCATCAAAGAAACCTGAAACGCTCATTCGAAAGAATATATGCATCCCCTATGTTCACTGTAGCATTTTTTATAACAACAAAGATGTGGAAGCAGCCATGTGCCCATCAGTAGATGAGTGGATTAAAAAGCTGTGGTACGTTTACATGATGGAGTACTACTGGGCTGTGAGAAACAAGGAAGTCCTACCTTCTGCCACAGCATGGATGGGCCTGCTGGTTTGTGTGCTAAGTGAAATAAGCCAGAGTAGGACAGGTTGCACATAAAATCACTTAAATGTCTAATCTAAACAACAAAATCATTAAATATATTAAACTAGTGGCCCAGTGCATGATATTCATGCACATTAAAGGAAATTAATTAGAGGAAATATTTTAATATTGCTATTTGCCCATTTTCTATAATAGAAGTGTCCAAGATGAAAGAAAATTAGTAAAATGTATATGAAAGTCTCCCTCCTGTCAGAGTCTAGGGTGTGCTACAGGACCCAGAGTCAAGTCCCTGCCCACCCACGGATGCCTCGAAATCATGGGAGACCCGGACCTGGCCAGCGCTACCCCCACCAAGCCCCACCTGGCAGGGGGGGCACAGCCTCAGGTCCCCATCAAGACCTGCCGGGTGGGGGCACAGCCTCAGGTCACCTAGCCGGGCCTCAGGTCCCCCGGCAGAGCCTCAGGTCACCTGGCCCTGGCGTGAGGGCGCAAAGGTGTGAGGGCATGATGACCATTTGCATATTAGCTCTTTATTATATAGGATTTTTATTGTTGACACTGTTACAAATGTCCCCCACTTCTCCCATTTGCCCACCACCACCCACCCCATTTCCCCCTCTCTTGGTTCTCATTACACTGTTGTCTGTATCCTTGGGCTGTGCATATATGTTCTTTAGTGAATCGCTTCACATTCTGCATCAAGTCCCCCCTCTCCCCCAAATCTCCTCTCCTCTGACATCTGTCACTCTGTAAATTCGTTTCTCTTCCTGTCTTGGTATGTCTCCCATAATGTCGTCGTGAGCATTCTTATTTTCTTTCTATACTAGTGGCCCGGTGCACGGATTCATGCACATGTGGGGTCCCTCAGCCTGGCCTGCACCCTCTCGCAATCCAGGACCCCTCAGGGGATGTCAGACTGCCGGTTCGGCCCAATCCCTGCAGGCCAGGCTGAGGGATTGGACCGAAACCGGCAGTCTGACACCCCCCGAGGGATGTAGTAGTGCACAAAGCAGCAGGTGATCGAGGAGGAGCCCAAACCTGGGCTGGGTGCCACGCCATTCATGCTCATCCCGGCCGGCCCTGCAGCACCTGCTGCCACCACTTGGTAGTGCTGCTGCAGAGGTGGGAGAGGCTTGCAGCACTGCAGCTGTGCTAGCCAGCAGTGAGCCCAGGTCTGGCTCACTTTGGTCAGCTGAACGGTGCTCCAGCTGTGTGAGCACACTGACCACTAGAGGGCAGCTCCTGCATTTAGTGTCTGCCCCCTGGTGGTCTGTGTGCAAACGATCAACCAGTCGTTTGGTCGCTTAGGCTTTTATATATAGAGATAGCCTTCCCCTTCAAGATAATACTGTATCTTTTGTAATATTATTGACATTATTAGAGATGACCTTCATCTCTGCCTATATGCCCCCTCCACCCAGGACACATCCCACTGCAGGCCTTCCGCACACTAATATCTATGGCTTTGAGCTATGCATATATGCAGGTAAGTTCTTTAGTTAATCTTTTTCTGCCCGCCCCCCTTCCCTGAGATCTGTCCAGTTGTTCCATGCAGCATGCCTCTGCACTTATATTTTTGATCAAGTTATATTGTTCATTAGAGTCCACATATAAGGGATATCCTGCAATATTTGTCTTTCCCTCACAGGGTTATTTCACTCGGCATAATACTCTACAGGTCCCTCCACAATATCTCAAAAGGTAAGAGATCCTTCATTTTTATAGCTGCATAGTACTCCATAGTGTATATGTACCACAGCTGTTTTATCCACTCATGCACAGCTGGGCGCCTGGGCTGTTTCCAGGTCTTAGCTATTGTAAATTGTGCTGCTATGAACTCAGGGGAGCATAACTTCTTTCTGATTGATGTGTCGGGTTCTGAGGATATATTTCCACAAGTGGGATCAGCTGGGTCCATCGGCCGTTCCATTTCTGAGCTTCATGTTACCAACTGCGGAATAAATGACTCACACCTCTGCTCTAAAAACGTCCAGTGGGAGTTGAGACTGTTTCCTGAAGGATGAACAGCACCAACATGACACTGAAAAGTCCACTCAAAGTTGTCGTCACAGAATCCAAAGGCCAGACCAACAAAGGAAGTGATCCCTGCAGTGCCCGGGAGGGATCGGGCACCTGCCCCCCAAGAGCCTTCTGTCCTCCTGAGCCCTCAGTTTGAGGAAACTCAGAGCCAGGCCCAGGGTGGGAGAGTCCGCATGCAGTGGGGGCACAGCTTGGGAACCCGGAAAGGCTGCAACAGCTTCTGACCCACCACATCCTGTGCGTCTCTGTTTTTCCGACCCTAAGTCTCCTCCATTTGCACAGCAGGAGCCCTGAGAGCAGATGCCATGATGTCCATCCTCTCTGCTCTTCTCTGCCTCGGTCAGTTGTGGACACAGGGAGGGGCAGCAGGAGGGGTGGCGGCACCCCCTTGTTCATGGGGAACCTCAGGCT